TATCTTTTTAAAATTGCTTTTTGTTAACTTTGTTTGTTTTTTGTCTTTTAATCTGTTATATCTGTAAAGCACTTTGTGATGTCTATCTAGAAATGTGCTATATAAATAAAATTTTACTTACTTTACTTACTTACTTATAACCACGTACTCTTACCAAATACTCTTAGCGCCGTTCATTTTAAGTTTTTGTTGTTTGAATGTTTGCACAGCATGACTGTAAAACGAAACAAAATTGAATAACTTAAAAAAAAGAAGTTACACGTCACCCTTGGTAAGAAAGATCTCCATATTTTTGTTCCCTCTATCTAAAAGAAAAAGAGGTAAATCTACAATCACTTTGCTGCTGGTTGTATTATTTGGGGTTATGTGTTGGTTTATTAAAATGCACTTGTAATTGCAGTTTTTTTGACACAATATTAAGTTCTTTATATTATCCTAACCACCCCAGGTTACAGGGAAGATGTAGTGACTGATTTTGTAAACAGCCAGTATCGGCTCTGGCATTTTCAAACACATCTGTGCAATAAGGCTTAATGCTGCGGTACAAAAGTCATGTTAGACAAGCACACCTACCATATCTCTGCACAATCTCTTCCACTGCTTTTGTTTTTATGGAGAGGAGCCAGTCTGCCCTACATTTTCTCTTTGTCTAGACAGAGGAAAGCAGGGAGGGCTGATAGGACAGAAAGTGCAGTGGCTGGCATTTCAATAAATCTCGTATCAGTGAGAGGAGCACCAGCATAGCCTGTTTGTTTATTTTAGTACTAACAAGGTAAAAAGTACAATTCACCTGTTAACATTTTGTGAGGAGATTGGGGTAAACGATGCTCCAATGTCTTTCAGGCTAAATAAAAACACCCCTCGTTTTATTATAATCCACACCTTATATCTGTCCCTCCTCTCTGGTCTCAGATTCGGCGGCAGGGTGGAATCCAGCTGCTGGTGGACTTGTTGGACCACAGGATGACTGACGTGCACCGCAGCGCCTGCGGAGCCCTGAGGAACCTGGTGTATGGCAAAGCCAACGACGACAACAAGATCGCCCTGAAGAACTGCGGAGGCATACCCGCTCTAGTGCGACTGCTCCGGAAGACCACAGACGTGGAGATCCGAGAGCTGCTCACAGGTAACACACGTGCACATACGCTATCTAAACAAAAGTTTTGGACCACGCCTCTTTATCTTTGAATCCTGGTGTTTTCAGTCTCATTGTCACATTGTATAAAATCAAGCACCTAGCCATGCAGCCTGCCTTCTCTTCCCTCCTAGATCTTCCATACCATAGCAACTTAGATACCAAGCCAGACAATAGTTACAAATTACAGAGCGAGATCGCTCCAAAACCTCTTTTAGATTAAAAACTGGCTGCTTCATTACATGTGCTACAATGGCTGAGCAGTTCCTGTTGGTGTAATCTATAAGTGGCCCAGTACTTGTCCGTATAGTGTATTTTGAAGTTGCCATCATTAGTGAATACTCACCATATTTCCTGGGAACTAACCAGATGTGTATCCTTCTCCTGGACAAATGAGGCTTATTTTTGTAGAACATTATGTGAACCTCAACTAGCACTAGGCTTGTTGGACATTTCAGCCTGAGGAAAGGGCTTGAAATTGAATCAACAGAGTCATGGGCAGCTAAGGCTCACTGATTCACATGTTGAGCGAAGGCTGGCCTGTGTGGTCCGATCCAACAGATGAGCTACTTAAGCTCAAATTACTGAAAGAGGGAATGCTGGTTCTCATAGAAAGGTGTCAGAATACACAGTGCATCATTGCATAGCTGCAGAGAAGTCAGGGTGCCCATACAGGACATAAAGGTCCTGTTGCTAATATACCAAATACTATAAAACTGTAATTCAAGAAAAAGTCTTAGATTTTCTACCTGTGGGTACTCCTTCGTACTATAGTCCCTATATAGTCCTCACACACGTTATTTTCCTTCACATGGACAATACAGATATGACTATATTTACAGAGAGCAGTCCAAGACACAAAACATGCCGCATTATGCATGTTTCCATTTACACTTCAGCACAAATACAGAGGCACACACACACTCACACAGAGGAGACAACTGTTTACTGCCTGCCTACTTCCCCGTACTCATCAAGTGCTGTTGACTTGTCAAACTGAATTTCTGTGCAAAGGTCTGTACTGCACTTGTATCCACAGCATGATTGTATCCTCTGTGAGTAAACACAAATATCTCCATAGAAATTGTGTTCAGGGTGGACTAATTTGAGGTTCTATAATCCACGTGGAGGTCAGCATTTGTAAACTCGGATAGATTAAAGCATTACCAGCAACGCCTCTTTTTTACAGCATTTACTGTATCCTGGCAATCTCTTTTCTGATTAGAGTTTACATGGACGGCCACACACTCTTACCTCTCGAGAGGGATGGAGAGATGATGGAGCCAGAAGAGGAATGTTACTTAATTTTCAAACTGATCTACAGCCAGAAACTCCCAGGGGTGGGGCGGGGTGTTTCCAGTCCATGAGCCAAATGAGAAATATAGATTTCTCTTACCAGCACCAGTACTCATGAAAACATCTTTGCTATGGAGCTGCAAAGAGATGGATATTTGTCCTATGATTTATGCCTTTTATTGCCGTAGTCAGCCTGTGAGGACGTGTAAGCAAATCAGTGACGACATTAATACCACTAACAAATAAACCAAATAGTAACAAAGATCTAATTCTCTGGGAATCCTTGGGTTGATCTTTGCCACTGATGGGTTGGTACTGACCTAAACAAACTTTGTTCCCTTCCCACTGGCAGTGGCCTCCCCTCAGCAGGACAGTGCCACTCGCACACGGAAAAAATGCTAGGCATTGACTTGAGGAACATGACAAACAAGGTGTTGATAAGCTTACATAGCCCATTCTGGTCGAGCATATATAGAATGCATGGTTGCACTGTCCTCCGACCCAGAGGACCCAAAAGAACCAGACATCAGAGGACATTCCCATGTATCTATGCCCTGATGGGTTCAAAGCTATTTTGGCAGCGAAAGTGGGTTGTTTCATTGTCGTCTGATTCCTGTAATTGTCTAATCTAGTACTAGACCACATGAAACCATTACTTAGCCATGCCAAATTTGTACTAGATTAACAGGAAGAGTGTGAAACTGAAGTCTAATCCATATCTATTCAATTCACAGAATTGTTGTTCACAAACAAGAGTGTTTCAATTCAGAGAAAAACCCAAAAATCATATGACCCCCTATGAGCAAGCACTTTGGCAACAGTGGGAAGGAAAAACTCCCTTTTAACAGGAAGAAACCTCCAGCAGAACCAGGCTCAAGGAGGGGCGGGGCCATCTGCTGCGACTGGTTGGGATGAAAGCAGGAAACAGGATAAAGACATGCTGTGGAAGAGAAACCGAGATTAATAACAAGTGTGATTCAATGCAGAGAGGTCTATTAACACATGTTGAGTGAGAAAGGTGACTGAAGAAGAAATACTCAATGCATCATGGGAATCCCCCAGCAGTCTACAACTATTGCAGCATAACTAAGGGAGGATTCAGGGTCACCTGGTCCAGCCCTAACTATATGCTTTAGCAAAAAGGAAAGTTTTAAGCCTAATCTTAAAAGTAGAGATAGTGTCTATCTCCTGAATCCAAACTGGAAGCTGGTTCCACAGAAGAGGGGCCTGAAAACTGAAGGCTCTGCCTCCCATATTCTACTTTTAAATACTCTAGGAACAACAAGTAAGCCTGCAGTGCGAGAGTGAAGTGCTCTAATGGGGTGATATGGTACTACAAGGTCATTAAGATAGGATGGGGCCTGATTATTTAAGACCTTGCATTTTGATTCCAAAAGAAGAATGTATTGCATACAAATGACATCACAGGGCTTTCAGGCCACCTTGCTATAAGGACCTTACCCACAAACTGAGTATCGTTGAGTCAAGCTGAGCCGAGTAAGTACTAGTGGAAAAGAGGCATTAGTTATGCTGCAGTAAGCCTAGGCTGCTGGGGACTTCCAATGCGCTGTTTCTTCTTCACTCTTACTGCTCTGCATCTACTCATTAGTCATGATTAATCTCTGGCTCTTTTCCACAATGTATTTATTGTCCTGTCTGATTGTTGATAGCACCAAGAGAAGCCACAGTCTGTGGATGAATCTCAGCCGATTACTTTGATGATACAGTGCCAAGTAGTTTTCATTTGGTACAATTACGTGGGATATTTAGGCTCGACCTAGATTTGGGGGAATACAGTAAAGTCCTTTTTTCTGTTTTACAAATCTGAAATCAGGTTTTTAACAGCATTCTTATTTTATCGAGGATGTCTAACACCATTTCATGACAGTATTCCAAGCAGCTAACAAATTCTTGGAGACATTAGGAGAGGTTTCAGTCCAGCTTACCTGTAACTGTGGAAACTTGTTTTCCCTCTCTGCAAACTGTCCAAAAGCAAAGTGTCTCCTCACACAAAAGCTGCACAGAGCCTTTGCCCACTTTCCAAATTATTTACAGCAGCACTTCACACATCAGGCTGATGTGAGATATTGGTGAGAGACAAACAGTTTAAGAAGTATATGGGCTGATATCCCACAGTTCTGAATAGTAATGGAAAAGTCTTATTAGGAAAGTTAAACCAAGAAGCATGTCAGCTCCAACATACAGCCACATGGTGTTGAGTTTGACCCGCGTGTGCATTTCTGAATATGCATATGTGTGTAGTGAGTCTAGAAAAGGTTTTAGGCTTAGCAGAGATGGAAATAAAAGGGTTTTGTATGCTGCTAGAGTCTTAAAGAAGATTACCATATAAATTAGAGAAGCAATTCAAGGCACGAAGCACAGAAATCCCTCCTGTCACAAATTAATCAGCTGAACGACCGACCGGACGTAGACAGACCATGCTCTCCTCTCTTCTGTCTCTCAAAGACCCAGAGGAAATAACTCTCTCTCCCTCCCTGTTTGCCAGCCTCTCTCACTCCCTCTCTTATCCCTCTGCGCTCAGATTCTTGTAATTGGTCTCTCTCTTTTCTCCTGTCTCTCTCCTGTCCTCTTTGCCTTTCTCCATCTCCCTTTTTTTTCCCATCTTTTTCTATATTGCCTGCCCTCTCTGGCTCTTGCTTGCTCTCTGGTGAGCTTTTTGAATCAGGATCACAGTGGGAAGTCAAGCTGCCTGCCTTGGTAGCTACAGACTCGCACAGACACGCAAACATGCACAAAGGGCTGGTTCACAAGCACACACATTCATTCACGTGTGCAGCTTGCTTCATGGCACAAAAAGTGACAAGCAGGCTTGTTGCTCTGTGCTCTTCAGTCTCTTTCAGTTCAGTAACTACGGTCCTTTTTTTTACCTTCTGTCTTTAGAACTAATAAAGGTTACATGGGGGGAATAAAGCAGATTGAACACACCAAATATCAGCATTACTGCTGATGCATGATTGTGTGTTCAACATCTTTAGTTCTTCATGTTATTGTTGTTCTCTGTGCACCTCAGAAGTAGGTGAGGTTGTGCTCCATTCTGTTTCCAGTACGTTAAATTTGCCCGGAGCTGACCCTGGGCACCCAGGCGAGACGGGCAATAGTTAGACTCTGGGTTTGCTGAAAGGGAAAGACTGCTGCCCCTGGATCCAGACAAGCAGCAGAAGATGGATGGTTGGACATATTGACGGATGGAATACAAATGTTAGATTTATGAAGAATTATCAAAATAGTGTAAAGCAGGGGTGTCAAATTCAATTGCACAGGGGGCCAAAACTCAAGGCACACTTTAGGTCGCGGGCCAAACAAGATAAACATTTATTGAACACACTAAAACAATGTTTTTTAAACATAAATATGAATAAAAACAGACAGGAATATTATTCCAGATTAAATAAACTTAAAAAAATAAACTTTAACTTTAAATATTTTGCTCTTCATAAAACTATATCCTGTCAAAATTATGCAAGTTAAAAATATGAACATGCTGCCAAAAACCCCAGAAAAAATAAATGAAAGCATACACAAGGTTCGAGCCACATGTAGACGGAGCTGGGCATTGCTTCAGGAATGGAACTAATAAACTGTGCGGGCCATTCAGTGTCGTACTTTCCCTTGAGTGTATCATTACACCGCAGCTCCATCTGAATCTGCACAGGTGCAATTCAGCAAAGTCCGCT